AGTCAACTATACTCGCCCGGGTGCCGCATCCTCATACCACAGTATATCGTGGGACAGTCCCATACATATCGTCACCTATTATCGATACTTACGGTTCTACCCGGATGGTTCAGTCATTTCTATACTGACAACGGCGGAGCCGTTGGAAGTTGTTCCTCACATCAGTAAGGAGAATGTGAAAGCTGCACGCGCAACGTTCTCACATCGGCATCATCAACGTAATACGTCTGAGCCAGGTATCACTTTAACTGGAGCCGCAGAACCGATACCCCCAGTCGCAATGTCCGCTTTGAAGGAAGCTCGTCGAGGACGCTGGCATCTGGTCAAGCCCCTTTCCGCTTCTGAATCTGAAGACGACAACCGCATACCGTCGATTTCCAACTGCCCGCCCTTCCCAGTCAAGACACTAGACACTCCTGACCTGGATCCCAGAGATGTCTTCATTGAAACTGAAGGTGTCAGTTCAAAGTACACGTACACAATGCATCTGTCTCTCCGGTCGTCCGCTGCAGGGTCGAAGCCTGCCAACCCCACAGCCACTCCGACCAACACATCGAAAAATACGAAGCTTGTGTGGAAGGGATTCTGGAGTCACAACAAGCTGACTGACGACTGGGCTGAGTTTGGACTGCGCAATGATCGGGCATTCGTTTTCCGAAGGGTTCGCGGTTGGGATATGTGAACCTACTCGTGCGTTATGATTGCATGAAGACATAGTACAGGTTTTGTGTCTCGGTTTGGTATAGACTATTTGGGGCTTTATTCAATGCCCGATCGACACCATAAACGGAGTATATAGGTAGATAGGACCGAGTCTCTTGAGCAAATCTTTAGAAAGGCGTCGGTTTTACAACTCTGACAGAGAGGTATGTTTAATAAAAGAATAATATATATCTGACAAACGAACGAATAGCGGGTAGACGCCAAGCAGCTTATCGATAAGCCTCTTCCGGAGAAAAATTTCGGGGACTCCACCGATCGCCTCCAAGCATGAGACTTGTTTGATCATTAGACTGCGATTGTTGTGCTTTTTCTGTATAGAGAGGTACTCAGTTAATCATTAATATTTTACTTTGTCAGACAAAGAGGTCGCATACGAGGCTTCGCGATGCCCGAAAGGGTACGTATCGTTTTTGACGACGCAGACGACGTCCCCGTCCCCAAAAAGGTCCCTGAGGCCGAACAAATTCAAGGCTCCGAACCAGTCAAACGAAAAGACCAGCCTACAGACCACCAGAAGAAGAGAAGCAAGAAGCGAAAGGTCGATGGGTCTACAGATTCACGGTCGCAAGAATCCTCGTCGTCAAATGAAACGCAGGCCGATCCGGTCTCGCGCGACACCAACGAGAATCATGCGGTCAATGGCGTCGCAAATGGCACATCCGATCACCCCAAGAACAAAAAGCACAAGACGAAGAACCAAGCGCCCCAAGGAACAAAGCATAATTTTAGCTCCCTAAGAGAAAAGGCCAAGGCGCTGTACGAAACCCGCAAGAACCTCCCCATCTTCCCTCACGGCGATGAGATCCGGCAGAAACTGCGGGCGAACGACGTGATGCTGCTGGTCGGTGAAACGGGTAGCGGAAAGAGTACACAGATTCCTCAATTTTTGGTCGATGAGCGGTGGTGCCGTCCGACCAAGGCGATGGTTACTCAGGATGATGGGTGCAAAAAGGAAATGACGGTTGGTGGGTGTATTGCCATTACACAGCCGAGACGAGTGGCTGCCATCTCGCTGGCGAGACGTGTAGCTGAAGAAATGGGGACGCCGTTGGGGTCTTCGTCGCCGGCGAGTAAAGTGGGTTACTCGGTGCGGTTTGATACGTCTACGTCGCCAAGTACGCGGATCAAGTTCTTGACCGAGGGAATGCTCCTTCAGGAGATGCTGCATGATCCCTCGTTGACAAAGTACAGTGCGATTGTGGTTGATGAAGTGCACGAACGTGGTATCAACGTCGACCTGGTGCTGGGGTTCTTGAGAAACTTGGTTTCGGGTAAAAAGGACGGGCGAGGTGGTGTGCCTCTGAAGGTCGTTGTCATGAGTGCCACGGCTGATATGGAGAGTCTGACGGATTTCTTCAAGGAGGGTCTACAGGCGCAAGGAGATACTAAGACAACAAACGGGAAGAGTAATCAGCAGGATTCTCCTCAAGCGAATGGCGAGGACAAGATTTCGGTTTGCCATATCAAAGGTCGCCAGTTTCCAGTCAAGACCATCTACGCCCCGGCTCCTGTGCATGATTTTGTAGATGCAGCTCTAAAGGTGATCTTTCAGATTCATTATAAGGAGCCCATGCCTGGAGATATCCTTGTTTTCCTGACAGGCCAGGAAACGGTCGAAGCTTTGGAACATTTGGTCAACGAGTATGCAACTGGAATGGATCCTGCCTTGCCCAAGGTCCAAGTGCTTCCTTTATTTGCGGCTCTTCCCCAGGTCGCTCAACAACGGGTATTCCTTCCCGCGCCTCCTCGCACCCGCAAGATCATACTTGCAACCAACATTGCAGAAACCTCTGTGACTGTCTCCGGAGTCCGATTTGTTGTGGACTGCGGCAAAGCAAAGATCAAACAGTTCCGTACTCGCTTAGGGCTGGATTCTCTTTTGGTCAAGCCCATTTCTAAATCCGCCGCCATTCAGCGAAAAGGTCGTGCCGGCAGAGAAGCACCAGGACAGTGTTACAGACTCTACACAGAAAAGGACTATCTAGCACTTGATGAGACCAATACACCAGAGATTCTCAGGTGTGATCTGAGCCAAGCTTTGCTTAACATGAAAGCCCGCGGTGTGGAGGACGTCCTGGGCTTCCCGTTTTTGACGCGACCCCCACGCGAGTCGTTGGAGAAGGCGCTACTCCAACTGCTAAGCATCGACGCTCTCGAGGAATCCGGGAAGATCAGCTCGATTGGGCTGCACATCGCTAAGCTGCCTCTTACGCCGACCCTTGGGCGTGTCCTCTTAGCAGCATCAGAACATGGAGAAGGATGTCTTTTGGATGTGATTGACATCATCTCCTGCCTCAGTGTGGAGAACATCTTCCTCAACACAACATCCGAAGAAAAGAAGGAAGAGGCAGAGAAAGCGCGCCGAGACTTATATCGGAGAGAAGGCGATCACCTCACCATGCTTGCCACTGTGCAAGCCTACGCAGCGGAGAATACGGATCGAAAGGCCTGGGCCGAACGACACATGGTCTCTCACCGAGCCATGCAGTCAGTGATGGTATGTTGTTATTATTCGTCTCCGGCTAACGCACTCTTTGACTAACCCCTCCGACTATCGCAGGATGTCCGCAAGCAACTCACCATGCAATGCCGACAAGCAAAGCTCCTTCCCAGCGCCAGCGAATCTCGCAACGGCTCTAACAACCCGGCCACTCGCGAGCCCTCAGCTGTCCTTATCCTCCAGAGTTTCCTCCGCGGGTTCTCTACTAACACCGCCCGGCTCGTCCCGGATGGCAGCTATCGGACTGTTGTCGGGAATCAGACGGTGGCCATCCACCCGTCGAGCGTCTTGTTCGGCAAGAAAGTGGAGGCTATCATGTATAACGAGTTTGTGTTCACGAATCGCAGTTATGCACGGGGAGTTAGTGCGGTTCAGATGGATTGGGTTGGGGACGCGTTGACTGGAGCATTGTGATCATGTTGTCTGATGGGTTTTGGCCTTGAGATATGTATATACCTGACGATAGAATATACCCACCTGCAGTGTTACAGACACCACACTGTACTCCGTATTCCGTAATGCACTCAGTTAAGAACAAAGTTGTTATCCCTTACATTGCAGCATGATAACCTTCAGCCCTCTCATTGCTTTTGATACACTTCTTGTCACAGACTTGCGGCGATGAACTAGCTAGTGACGAGTCTGTCGACGGATAGATGACATGTCAGTGAGATCGGCCAACGGATGGGATGATCGTCATTTAGCCTCTTTGAGTGTCAGGAGTTTAGTGCTCAGTGCTGATCGCTCGAGAAGAAAGCTGTACGGCACGATACTCAGGCAGGGTGACCGATTCAGCCATCAGGCAGTAAGGCTTGGGAAGTTGAGTGTACTAACACCGTCCAAAAGCGACTTCATTGGTGGTGGTGGTATCGTTATCTCTAGGATGATTACATTATTACCGACTACCTCTCATACTCCGTTGAAGCTTAGTGTACTGTCTAGCAAGTACTGTAGTGATGTTAGTTGAGCTGATGATGGATGAATGTGGTTGGGTTCAGAATGGAGACCCTTGTACATATATTTTCACCTGTGGCTGCAGTGGTAAAATATGATGAGTTGAAAGAAAACAGTTCGCTGTAAGTAGTGAATATTGAAGAACAAACACTATTAGGTCCACATATGGTACATGTTTTAAAACCAGGTAAACTCTACCTTAGCCATCTACATGTCTGGTGACCTGAACTGCCTGTTGTTATTGTCACGGTGGTGTTTAACCTCCCCATCCTTGCATCATTTCCGCGTTTCTCCCCAACAGTCGAGTTGCCCTAGGGTGTCTGTCTTCTTTGTTGTTCGTCATGTTCGTCATGATCATAATGATCATATTATAAACTGCTCTTCTCTTTTGTATTAATGTATTATTTGTTTCCTCTAGATATCTATTAGATATCTTTATTCTCGCATCGAGTCCACATCCCCAACAGGTTTGGGTCCACAGCATCATCGAAATCCCACCAGTGACGGCTGATCTACTCATCTCCACCGCGATCATCATCACCCATCATCATTCCACCATCACTACAAGTCCGGCCGGAAACCAGACAGTCTATCTGTCTATCTGTCTATCTATCTATTGTTTTCTTTTTCTTGTTTCATCCCCTTTTTCTCTCTTAAATTCTTTTGTCCATATATACATCTATTCCACTTTTCCCTCTCTCACAACTACCCGCTTTCTGATTACCGACAAACACTTTGGTCGCGGCCTATCTAAGCACTCCACACGGGGAGCATCCACCCTATCTTATCTACTGTGAAGATCGGAGATTAGGACTCATCACTCATGGCCTTTCGTCTACCACCTCAAGTCGCCCGCCGTCGCAATTCCTACTCAACTCAACAAGTTCCTGAGCTTGATATTCCTTCTCCCCTCTCGCAAGTCTTCGAGAACGAATCCACGCAATGGGTGCTCTTCTCCCCGCCCCAACCATCCACCGCCCGCACTCACACGACCTCCACTGAACGCACCCCCCGCACAGCTGGAGCATCCCGCCTAAGTGATTTCGGCTCCTTTGGCACAGCGACTCGCTCCATTCTCGGTTTCGAGGGCGATAACACGGACGGCGATGTTGAAGAGCCGCTGGATGAGGATGGAACGGAATTAGACAGCCTAGATGATGGCCTGCACGCTTTCCGGGCCCCCTCCGTCACTCAGGAATCTACATCACGGGTGAACCAGTCCACTCCAGCAGTACTGCCAGCTCACGATGGGCTGGGGAGTTTCCATGCGTCCAGTCAGCCCGTGCAGGAGCAGTTGTGGCAGCATGAGCAGTTCAATCCCCGCCGGCGGGGTGACGTGCGTCTGAGACGTCGCTCGAGTGTGCAGCGTCAGCTCGACTCGATAGAGGATCGAGAGGAGGTTGATATGGAGCATGAACGCTGGCAACGTATTGAGAAGTGGAGAATGGACCAGAGCCGGGCGCTCTTGCAAGAGATTGAAAAGGAAACACGACGGCGCCGACGCAATAGCCGCGTCAGTGTGCAGACCGACCAGGTGGCTTCTCAGCCCATTGTTTCAAGCACGTCTGATGGTGCCCTGGAGGCACTCAAGGAGGATTCATTGCAGCCGCAACACGAATCTGAGGAGGACGAGTCTTTCTGGCGACGTATCACCCGCAAGGTGATTCGGGACCTGATCGGCATCGACGATTCTCTGCTTTCTGTCATTTTCGGCGAGTCGTTGCCAGATATGGGGCCGGAGTACAATGAATCTGCAGGAACGGGCAACGCTCTCAATCTGAGCGAGACAATTCGGGAGCTGGACTCCATGCCGAATGAGCAAGGTCTCTGGCAAAGCAAATTACTTCAGCGGATCGCACGCGAGTTGGGTACCTTGGTTCACCATCTTTGCGAACACCCTGGCGCCTTTACGACATATCTCAACGTCACGAATGAGATACCAAACGAGTATGCAGGCATACCACTTAGTCGTCTAGCAAAGGAGAATGATGCTGCACCGCAGGATGCATCCGCCGAACCTGCCCTCCACACCGTGATGAGCAGTCAGGAGTCGATAATGTCGCCGCAATTTTCGCCTACGATGCGCGATCCTACCGGCAGAGAGCATGCCGCACATTGGGGCATCGAGGAAGAAGAGGATGCGAGCCGCGAACCACTCGCTGAGTCTGCACGCCTCCAACAAGAGAAAGACTACTGGGAGCGCGAGCTGGACGTGATGATGGTTTTCCGCTACCTTCGCAACCGCTTCGGCCGGCGAGGTAGCAACGCCGACAGCACCCATGCGTCCTCACGCCGTCACCCACAGGATGCGTCTCGACGCGCGGCGATCATCCGCCAGCACCATCCCCTCGTTGCACGGGCTCATTCCCGCTCTCAAGCCCAAATCCGACGTCAGTCTGGGCCCACGGGCATTACATCGCCGCTGCTCCGTCAGTACCTCCACCGACCCGGCTCGAGCTGTGCAAGCCAGACAAAACTCTCTGCTCTCTCCAGTCGGCGAACACTCACCAGTTCAAGCCGGAATTACTGGGACATTGGCGGGAGCATCGACAGTGCGAGCGCCATCGCACCCCCTGCAGCCGGCGTGGGGCTTTGGGGCGATGTCTGATCTGCTTCCCGTCATCATTCCGCATGAATACTGCCCATCGCTCAATAAGTCATATTTTGGTGGCGATCTAATCAAGGCGCTGTTGTGATTGTCACAAATGGTATATACATATATACATCCACCCATCCATGTCCATTCATATAGTTCGATCATGGTGTTTCCATTCAACGCGTCTTGGGTATTGTGCTTGGGTCCTTGTTCAATTTTGCATCTTTATTCGGCTCCGTGGCGCAGACAGAGGTGAGGGTGTATCTTGTCTTCGGGGTATAAGACGGTGTACGGTAGAATGGGGCAGCGGCGAGACGACGATCGGGTTGCGTCTTTTTACTATTGGCACTAGCTGTCATGTCGATTTTACCGGGTTCAGATTACTTGGAGTAATGGCATCTTGTATAATCTATTCTACATTTTGTATATCGTAGCGGGCTTCAACGATGGGTATCTCCTGACGAGCTTGACATAAATAGTATAATTACTACGCTTAATATAAGTAGATATCACGAAACATTCAGCACGCTATCATAATCTCGTGGTCCATTTCTGCTACCGCTACCGCTACAGTCGAATCGACTAGATCGAGGATGAAACAAGCCGAGGAAATTCCATGATTAATCAACTCCGCCGTACGTGAGAGCACCACTAAATGACATCAAATCCTTTCCAGGATGGGGGTAACATGAAAACGGGGAACTGAAAATTGGTTGTCTTTTTTCATCTTTCTCTAACGCTACTGGGAAACCATCTAAGCCTGAGACAGGTTCTCGTAGGCGCTAGGGAAGCGCTTCATGTTCTCCTCAATCAGACCGTGGCCACGCAGGAACTGGACGTAGGCACCGTCCTGCTTGAGCTTGCCCTCGTTGCGGAGCTGGATGTAGTCCTCGCGGCGGACGGGGGTGAAGCCCCAGTTCTTGGAGACGATGATCTTTTGGCGACCGGGGAACTTGTACATGGCACGGCGCAGAGCCTCGATGGCAGCGGCGCGGTTGGAGTCACGGGTGCGGACGGACAGGATGATCTGGCCGATGTTCACACGGGCAACGGTACCCTGGGGCTTACCGAAGGCACCACGCATACCAGTCTGGAGACGATCGGCTCCGGCGCAGGACAACATCTTGTTGATACGGATGACGTGGAAGGGGTGCACACGCACACGCATGTGGAAACCTTCCTTACCGGTGATCTTGACGAGGTACCTATTTGATCAAATGGTTAGTGGACTGAACTGTGCGTGTAGTGATGCTGCTGCGGGTGCGGATGGAGGATGGCGGATCAACGTACTTGTTGGCACAGATACGGGCGGCTTCGAGGGCCTCGGAGGACAGCTGCTCGTACTCGTTGGAGACCATGTGCACGCACAGAGGGAAGTCGTCGACGTTGGCCTTCTTACGTCCCAGATCGAAGATACGGATCTTGGGGTCGGGAACACCACGGTTGAACCGGGACTTAGGGTAGGGCTATATCCGACGCATCCTGTCAGTAATCATCCTCCTCACAGCACATATCAAAACAATAAATCCATCCAGGGCCCAGTAAAATCGCGACGACATATATTCCATCTCTTTATTCCTTCGCCTGTCAAAAACAGGTGTTGGCGTGGTTGCTCTCCCCACAAGCGAGGTTCCCGATCCAAAATCCACAGAACACGGAAAACTCCCACAAGAGATCAGATCCTCCATCAAGCGATCGCACGCACCTTGTTCTTGCAGTAGCGGTAGCATCTCGCGGGACGACGGGCCATTGTGACTGCTGGAAATGGGCTGACTGCACTTCCTGCGAACGGTGAGGTTGTCGAAAAGGGTGGTGTCGGGAGTTCAAAAGGGAAGGGGGAATTCTTCGCCTGCGGGCAAGTCTCGACGTTGATTTCCAAGCAACTCCCGCTAACGAGTGGCAAAGCCCTAAACCCTACCCTCTCCACCAATCACGTCCCGTCATCGCCATGACGCATTTGTCAGATCGGAGGCTTTTTAACCTGTTACTGTTGCTGGCCTTGAATCCGAGTGGCTATGAACGGATTATAAATGCCCTTTTGTTGATACCAACTCGAGTGCGTAATACGCACTCTATGAGTCAGGCTCCTCTATTACTGCAGAGTATGACTCTTGAAAAATTGGACTGAAAACAAGGTATTGCATCATACTTCTGTTGCTTCTACACTACGCCAAGTACAATCGCTCCAGATAGGTGTGGACCTTCTTTCATTCATTCTGTCATTATCTAAGTGGTGCGCTGTGATATCTCAAAACACCCGGACGTATAGACATAACAAGAACCTAATGTTCGAGGCGATACACCTACTGGCTGCTGAGGATGTCGGAGTCACCAGCATCCAGGATGGCCATGGTGCTGCAACGGAAGAGCTTACCGCAAGCGGTACCGAGCTCAATCTGTAGTACGGATATATGTCAGCCATTGTCATTTACCCTCCAAAGCCCAGATACACGGCTTCTTCTCAGGGCTGCTCCCAGGTCGCCTTCCCTCTTTCGGAGAAGTACCAGCGTCGGGGCATAGGAGTAAAACCATTGCAGAGGTACTTGTCACTTACGTTGTTGCCAGAGAAGTGGTGGACAGGAGTCTTGGCCAGCATGGCGTAGTACTCGAGCTCACTCTTGCGGAGAGGAGGAGCGTTGGCAGCAATGAGGACCAGCTTGGCCTTGCCGGAACGCAGGGTCTTGATGGTGGACTTGTAGCCAAGGGTGACTGGAGGAGAGAGAATAATCAGTGATATGGTCTTCGACGTCAATTTGATTGAAATGTTACACACCCTTTCCAGACTTCATCACCAGAGCCAGACGGCTGGAGAGGGTGTCACCGGACTTCTTGCTCTTGGGGGCCATCGTTACGCTGTTTGTTCGAGTCGAACGAAACTTTTTGATTTGACTGAAGGGTGGTTGGGAAGGTGCGCTCCGGCCGAAGTTTTCGAGGTTGGGATGCGATCAAGAAGCGATTGCCAGATTGATTTTCATGATAATTTTCTTGTGGGTTTGCCCTAGTGCCCGGCGGAGCAGAGATCTTCCGTTCCGCCAGAAGCTTGCTGAGTAACCCCGCTGTTTCCGTACAGGGGGCTGAAATCCAATTACAGGTATCTTTCCGTTATCGCATCCAACCATCTGCATCCTTTGCTAATGCCTCTAGATAGTCCCTTTATTCTATTATTGCAGGCGTGTCCAGTTGGGACTCCTTAAGTGAGCTCTTACCGGTTTTCTCGCATCGGAGAGTTGGAACCAAAGTTGAAACCAACATTCAGAGGCAAGAGGCAATTATCAAAGCTGGAGTGGCAGGAATTCAATCATTTTGGATGATCATTATTTTAGGCTGACAGATGGCCACCTAGATTCTGTACGCACGCAGCAAGGAACTGCCTATGAAATCAAAGTACGGGAGGATGCTGTGCTATCTTTATCTTCTCGTCCAAAGTAAACTTTGCAACGTCGTAAAGTTCGTGTTGTCTTCCCAGGTTAAGGGGCCAGGTTGTCCCGTATTTTGCATCTAAGCCCCGTACTACAGTAGCCTGAGATTAAGGTAGTCGGATAGTTAAAACATGCGTTGGTCTCATGTTGGTTAGATCTACTCCGTACTTAGTTAGCCGTTAGGCGCTGGCTGCTGTTGGTAGGGGAACCTAACACGCAGCTGCAACGGATAAGACGATCGCTTGTATTATTGCCGTTTCCATACAAATAATTGAGTCGTCCAGTCTACTTTTCCGTCTTCAACCCCCAGATTTCTCCATTCTGAATTTCTACGGCGTTGATCCTAACGTGGTACTTCTGACTTCGGTTCTTCTTCGATTTATCCTCCTTGATTCTGGTTTGTGCCGAATTTCTAGGTGGGTGGCTAGACGTCGCCAGCCATTCGAAAGTTCTCCCATTAGGTGCCCACCGTGTTTTGACCGCTACTATATACGCTGATTCCTTTAAATTGATCGCTAATTTCCGACCGTTTCATCGTCGCTTCTCCTGGCCTGGGAAATCCTTCTTACAACTGGCTTCATTCAGTTATTATTTTCGTGCCTCTGGCGTACAAATCACTTTCAAACTTGACTGTCCACATTATCGGTGAATATGTCCGCGAACCCCCGCAAACCTGGGACTCCAGGCAGTGGGAGCAAAACCTCCACTACGGACAATAACACAGTCAACGGGACTCCGTCGCGAGTTCATACTCGATCCCCCAGTGCTTCTACAAACGGTCTATCCCGATCCCCTTCCCTCCGTGGCTCGACTCCTGTTTCTGCGCGCGCTGCAGCCCGGAAGCCTGGTCGGTCCAACCTTAGCATGTCCAATGTACCCCAGGTGGCAGCCGATCCGTCCGAGGAAGAGGCCCGGGCCCAGAATGCAGCTCTGATCGAAGAGTTGAAGGAGCAGTTGCAGAAAGCTGAGAGTGCATCGGAGCAGTACCGCAAGCAACTTGGTGTCTTGCAAATGCGCCTCGACGAAGCGATCAGCGAGCAGGGCAAGTTGGAGGACCAGGCTCATGAGAAGGACAGCAAGATTGAAGCCCTCAACAGCGAAATAAGAGACCACATTCGCCAGATCCGAGACCTGGAACAGGCACACGAGTTGGAACGGAACGCCATGCTTCAGGAGAAGGAGCAGCACCTGAGTCGGCAGGAAGAAATGCAGGCGACCATTCAGCGCTTGAAAGACACGTTGGCCCAGAAGGAGATACGAATTAACGCTGATAACGAGAAGAATGTTTCCCGTTCTTGTGAGTAATTCATCTCATCTTCCCCCCCTTCTACGCTCCCAATAGTTGTCACTGACAAGTCATTACAGCCAGTTTCCGGAATCGGTCCTCACCAGAGGTGGAAGGGCAGTTCGCGCCTTCGTCCCAGATCGAGCGGAGCCCATCGCGAAACAATTCGAAGCTGCTTTTGCAGAAGGACAAACTGATCGAGTCTCTCCGTCTCGAACTGGCTGAATCCCAAATCAAGCTTGTCGAGATGGAGAACAAAGGCGGTGGCCGTCAACGCGAACTGGAAAAGGAGCTTTTGGAAGCCCGCA